GGGCTGTTCTCCCCCAGTTCTGCAGATCGTAAACAGAGGATTACAAAACATTAGAGGTCTGCTTGGCTTTTTTGGCAGAGAGCTCTAGGGACGAAGAAGTTAAAAGTCCTGGTGAAGAGGCTGAAGGATGAGCCCAGGACCAGGAAAGCGAGAGAAGGAAGGACAGGGAGGCTGATGGACTCAGGTGACTCGGGAGGTAGTGCCGACGGACAACCGAGAGTCCTCCTGGACTGAAGGCGGGGCAGCAGAAACCAGGGAATGGTGGCTTGGCAAGATCCGGGTTCTGGTCCCACGGTGGGGTGACATGCAGGTCTTCCATGCAGGTATCTTGAAGAGGAGCTAGACGCTTCTGACCAATCTTAGTTTGGGCCAGCCTAGGAGTTTCATCGTTAATCTTTCAGAGGGAGAAGTAGGCAGGAAACCCGCTTGGTAAATTATCCTGGAAATCCCATCTTCCTTAGCTCTTTGGAAGCTGAATTCTCATTAGGGCATATGGGACTCGATCTGGTCAACCCGGAGCCCATGCCTTTGATTTTCATTTGGGATTTTTAAATACTTCTCCATGGAAGAACGAAATAAGCATGTCTTTTTTCCTCCGTATAATTAAATGAGAAAGGCTGAAAAGACCTACAGGCGGTCACTCCGGAGTTGGCCAAAGTTCGATCAGGAAGCGAAGTAAATCTCATTCATTGCAGGGGCTGAGGGCTCCAGCAGAGAGCAAGGCTTTCAAGTGCAGTTCTCAAATGCTCGGAGGCCACTGGCCAGGGTGTAAAACAGAGTCAGGGTGATTAGCCGGCATGTAAGCCAAGGCTTGTTTGAAGTTGGGCAATTTCTAACTCCTTCCAGCCAGGCCCCGCTTGACAATTCCAAGGTCAGCGTCCCATGAAATCCCCCCGAGGTCTTCAATACCATCTCCATCTCCTCCCTTCCACACACAGACCGAGCTCTGGCAGTGTTCCTCCTTCACTTCACAGAGCTGTCCGCGGAAGAGGGGCCTTGAACAGTGTGGAAACGGCTGGAGCGTACAGCGCTGTCTCCTTACAGGGCTGTCGGATTGGCTCACGTCGCCTTCTCTTGACGAGGGTACGCTGTAGAACAATCTCCTGCCGTCACGGTTAGAAATCCGAACTAGGAAAGACTTCTGGAAACGTCTGGTCCCTTCCAGAGCAGAAACATTGCAGAATATGCCTTGCCAACCTTTCCAGACTCGCCCACTCATTCTGGGCCTTACGCATTATTTGTTCACCAGAGGAGGTACCAGTCTGAATTTTTAAACCATTTTTATAAAGAGTCATCAAATCACGGCACATACACATTTTGATTTTATGACCGTGTATCACCCTGTATTCTAATTCCATAGCCCTGAACGTCTCTCTCCTCACTAGGTGAGTACCGCACGGAGCTAAATATATGTGCTGGAGGGGCCAGCAGTTGGCGTAAGGGCTATGTCACTGGACTCCCATGTAGTCAACCGCAGTTTGAGTCCCGGACCCGGTAGCTTAAACTCACGCCGGGCACGTGTGCATGCGTGCCCGAGATCCCTAGAGCAGAATGGAGAAGGAATTGTGGCATGGCCATCCCCCCTGGGGGGTAATTTCTCACTTTCTGTCTCTTTGTCTCTCTCTGTCTTTCTGGCAAGCGCACGCGCCCTATAGCAAAAACCTCACCAAAAAAATTTAAAATAAAATAAATAAATAAATATATAAATATATGTGCTGGGACCGTGTCCATGGAAACCAGGCTACCGATAGGCGAGTCGCGTTCTATAGGAAGCTTTACTGCAGTATTTTTTAAATAGCAGCAAACTGGACCCAAGCTGAATGTGCACACGTAGGGGTGACAGAAGTTGTGGTACGCCTACGTGCTGGAGTCCCACTTAGCGTTCAGAGGCAGAGCACTGGAGGTTGCCCAGGAGGGATATCCAGGATAAAGGCAACTTACACGCAGAAACAGAGTGCACTCCGAATTGTGAAATAAATACTGCGGGGCCTGTGGGTGGCGTGGTGATTACAACACTGGCCTCTCACATGGCCGACTGTGGTTCCAGTCCCAGACCTGGTGGCTGACTTTCTAGCATCCCTCTCTGTCTCTCAGTCTCTCTCTGGTGAGTGTACATGCCCTATAACAAATTAAAATAATAATAAGTAAAACTAGATAAATAATTATTTAAAATAAATAAACCCACAAACACTGGTGCTTAGCGGACGTGTACGTGTTTATGACTCGGGAGGAACATTACTAGGCCTGCCCGAGGGTGTGGAGGGAGTAAGGGAGTCTGGAGGGAGTCAAATGGTGCTAGCCACGCACGGAAATAGCTCGCGCCGTGGTGCCGAGGGTGCAGACGGCCTGGGCTGGCCGAGGATTTGGAGTGAGCCTCTGTTAGGGTGCTACTGGCCGCTGCTGGGCAGGGTGACTTCGGACCCACTGTGAGCCCACCCCAGTCCTGTGACGTAGGGACGCCATTTCCTCATGTCACAGAGAAGGGCACTGTGGCCAAGAGAAGTTAATGGACTTACCCATAGTGGCATGGTCAGGGGCCAAGCTAAGACAAAATAATAATAGGCAAGTAAGTCAAAAAATGAGACTGTATTATTTTTCTAAACATTAAACTGGTCAAATTTAAAATAATGAGCTTAATTCGATGATAGAACTGTGAGTTGTTCTCATCTTAAACTTGTATTACTATTGAATGTTACTCTTCTTAAGTTTATTTCTTTTTTATGAGAGAGAGAGACAGTGAAAGTGAGAGAGCGCCTTCAGTGGGGTCTCGTAGGCCAGCAGGTGGTGTGGTGGTTAGGGCGGCTGGATCCCGCATGGTCAGCTATACAGTTTGAGTCCCAGACCCGGGGGTTTGAAAAACACACCAGGACGTGTGTGAGTGTGTGTGTGTGTACCCCAAATCCTGAGTGGAGAATGGAGGAGAAGGGACTGTGGTGTGACTACCCCCTCTGGTGATGGGGGTACTTTCTCACTTTCTCTCTTTCTCTCCCTCTCTTTCTCTGTCTCTTTCCAGAGAGTTCACGCACCCTATAGCAAATTAAAAATAAATAAATAAATAAAAGTGGGAGAGTCTCACGTCCCCATCCACCCCTCGGCCTTCCCAGCCAGCAGGTCTCTGACGTGCGTGCTCTCGCGCGGTGTGGCCAGTGTGTGCAGGTCAGCCTGGGCCCAGACCCAGCTCTTCCGTATGGCCTCCGGCTCTGCAGAGCGGCAGACCACGGTAGCGCCACAGCTGCTGGCCTTATTTTTACTTTTAAATAAAATAAAGTGATTAAGATCTATCAAGTAAAGTGGATGGCATGGCAGTTTCCAAAACTGTCCTCGGATCCTTCGATGTGGAGGGCTCTGCCTCCCTCCCGGAACCCGAAGGTCTCACGAGAGCTCTGACCACAAGGCAGGGACCATGCTCCGTGCCTCTGCAGACTGGTCGGAAATGGTGCTCCAGCTTCCTCCAGGACCCCTTCTTAGGAAGCTCACTAGGAAGGATGCCAGCCACCATGACTTGAGTCCCACTCTGAGAGGAGGTGCCCAGACCCCAGGCAATACCAACGGCCAACTTAGAGCTTTGACTCTTCCAGCTGAGGCCCCAGACATGGCGGACATGAACTGCACCAGCGGTGTCCTGTCCAAATAGCTGGCCCTCCAGCATTGTCCGTAAGCAAAACCGAAATTCGCCTGGTTGCAGTTATTGTTCTTTGGGTGGTTGTTGTTAGAGGATTATTTTTAGTTTTATTTACTTATTACTTTTTTAAATTCACCAGAGAAGTAGAGAGAGAGACAGAAAGTGAGAAAGCAAGCTGCCAGGTCTGAGACTCAAACCATAGTCAGCCATGCTCCAAACACCGTGCCACCTGCTGGCCCGTTTTTTTTTTTTTTTTCTTTTTGTTGTTGTTCTATTTTTGTTCCTAAATCACATAATGTTAGATAGTTGGAGCAGGTGGGGTCCTTCTGTCACTATGTTTGTCATTGGAGTCATTTCTTCTACTCCTTATGGGTATGTCGTGATGGCTAATTTGCTGTGCGAATCTGGCCAGGATGCAGTGCCCACACGCTTGGCCAAACAAGATTCTGGAATCTTCAAATAACTGAGTATACACATTTTTATTTTATGACCACGTATCACACTGTATTCTGAGTACACGGACCTGGACGTCCATGTGACTGCATAGACCCGAAGGTAGCGCCGGGAGGGATTAGCCTTTCAGCTGGTGGACTTTGAGGAGAGCAGGTTGTCCTCATAACATGCGGGCCTCATCCACTCAGCCGGAGACAAACGGAACAGAGACTGGCCTCCGCAGGGCAGGGAGGAGTCTGCCCGCAGAATGGACGCCTCCGGCCCCCTGCGACTCCTGCCCGAGCGTCAGCCTGCTGGCTTACTCCATCGGATTTAGGACTCACCAAGCTTCCAAAATCACTTGAGCCTATGATTTGAAAAACCTCTCCCTTGGGGCCAGCAGGTGGCATGGTGGTTCAGGGCACTGGACTCCCACATGGCTGACTGCTGTTCGAGTGCTGGACCTGGTGGTTTCCTTTTTCCACCCCCCCACTCTGTCCCTCTCTGGACACATTAAAATAAGTAAATAAACAAAGTTAGATAAAACAATTATTTTTTAAAAAATCACTCTCGTTTCTTTAGAGAATCTCATGCACATAACGGACCTTTAACTGCTTTCCAACGACTTACCCGTACCCTCATCTCACAGTACAGCCAAGTACTTCCTACATATGTAACTTATTTAAGAAGATTGGACGAGAGGCTAAAACCAGGTGGGGGCCAGTGTTCTCAGCCTCCTTCTCCGCCCCCCAGGACGTAAATCAGAGACGGAGCAGCAGGTACCCAGGACAGCCCAGCGTGACAAACTGGGACAGAGGTCCGAGAAGCAGACCCACAGTGGCTTTTGCACTGAAGTGGCTTCATGGAATTCCATGTGCCACTGAGAATTCCCAAGTGACGAAATGATCAGATCCAGGCAAAGCGTCAAAGAAAAGGTGTAACTCACCCCTCGAAGCAGTGGGCGACTGTCAGAACCCACTTCTTGGCAATGAGGACACAGCCGCAAATGTGCCCACTGGGTTCACTCTGCAGAGAACACTGCCAGGGCCACCGTCCGGGGCGACTGGTGCGGCCCCCGAGGATCCTCTTGCTCATGCGGGCAGCAGGGCGGCGCCCACAGTCTAGCAGGGAGTGAGACGGGGTTGGTGATCGCCCCTAACCCAGCTCAGCCTGGCTCTTCGTCGTTGGGGACAAGCGGTGATTCCCCCAGCCAACCCCGTCGAATCGAGTGCCCACCCCTCTGCTATGCTACAGCGTCTCTCACCTCGTTTAGCGCACAGAAGAGCAATCTTCCTTCTGCTCCGACAGGACTGCCTGGATGGGGAAACACAGGAGGGCATAGCGTTATGTATTTGCTGTTCACTTGACGCACCTCACCAGTGGAGGCGAGGCGTCGGGGCTGGGTCACCAGAGGCCACGCTCTCTGTGGTTACTCTTAGTGCCAGACGTCTCAACGCCGAGCTGTGGAGGACACCGGCTTTCTTGAGTTTTTAAATTGATCTAATATCAAAATATAAGTTCACATTTGTGAAATGTCTCCTATATCATCTTAGCTGGTGGAAGCACCCATGATACCATCTCATGCCCTGAGTCTCAAGGGCGGGAGGTGGTGGGGTGGGTGGTGGTGGGGAGGTTGCTTCTGAGAATTAATGAGGAGAGGGAGCATGTCAGATTGTCACGCTCATGGAGATGACCACGTGCCGAAGTAAAGCTGAGAACTAATAGTCGTAGAGGAGTAAAATACTACAGGGCCATTGGGAAAGGGATGACACATTTTTGCCTAGAAAAATAGATCGTGACTTTCCTGATAACCTACTACTTCAAAAAGTTAAAGGCCAGATAAAGAAATGGAATATTTGGGACCAGCTGTTAGAATAATGGCTGTGTCGCTGGACTCCCATGTAGTCAACTGCAGTTCGAGTCCCGGACCCGGTGGCTTAAACTCATGCCAGGCGCGTGTGCGTGCGTGCCCAAGATCCCAAGAGGAGAATTGCGTAGAAGGGATTGCGCCGTGACCATCCGCCCTGGGGGATGGTTTCTCACTTTCTGTCTCTCTTTCTCTACCTGTCTTTCTGGCAAGCACACACGCCCTATAGTGAAAACCTCTCCAAAAAAAAAAAGAAAAGGAAAAAAAGAAATGGAATATTTATACGGAAGCAGAATTTTACCAAGACTGTCAAGGTTAATTGTGGACACAGGAGAAGTTGACAAAAGGAATGGAGGATTCCATTTATCCCATATAACTTTATCTGGTAGGATCAGAGCCAGCAGGTAGACGTCACAGGAAAGCATAGTTTGGGAAAGAAAGAATTTTCTAAAAGTCTAAGTTAACTTCACAAGCAAGAACACGTGCCATGTCGAAGGATCCTCTCGGGGTGGCTATACAAAAGAATTCCATTTGGAGTGAGTTAATTTTTTTCTTTTTTTTTTTGGAGAGGTTTTTGCGATAGGGCGTGTGTGCTCACCAGACAGACAGAGACAGAGAGATAGAAAGCAGGAAATCACCCCCCAGGGGGGATGGTCACGCCACAATCCCTTCTCCTCCATTCTCCTCTCAAGATCTTGGGCACGCACGCACAGGCGCCTGGCGTGAGTTCTAAGTCACCGGGTCCGGGACGCGAACCGCGGTCGACTACGTGGGAGTCCAGTGACATAGCCATTACACTAACTGCTGGTCCCAGAGTGAGTGAAATTTTAATCACTAAGTTTTCACTTCCAACCATGAGAATTTATTTACAATGTAAATTTAAAAAAACACCTTGGGAGTTCCGAAAGTCCTAGAACATGCTTAGAATTTTAGGTCTCTCAGATGAACAAATATCCATCCCTCACGATGTCAGCCCCACATTCCATTTTACTGTATTTACTCTTCTTGCTATGTTTGCATGGGAGCACGGGAGAGTGTTGGCATAGAGTAAATTACGCGATACAGGAAAAGCTCGTTTGCTTTTTACCTCCCCTCCTTCTGATGTCCTAAACGTCCTTAAGCTCTGCTCCTTTGCTGCACTTCCCAAGCTGAAACAGATTTTGTGTCCTACCTTATGATCTCTGTCCACCCATATGACGTATGCTCTTTGCGAGCAGAGCCCTCGATCACTTCCACGTCCCCTCCAAGCCTCATACTCAACTAGTATACAAGAGATTCTCAATAACTAGTTGTTATTTGTTAGACTAAAAAATCAAAACTTTTAGAAATAAGAAAAGTTACCAAAAACTGTCCACCCCAACTCTTAATAGAAACCCATGGTCCTATAAGGTCATACATCTAGTTAGTAAGCCAGGACTAGAACCAGGTCTACCAATTACCAATTTAGAATGAGTTTATTTGACCTCAAAGCGTTTTCTTCACATTTCTAGTCTGGAGAAACAACTCGGTCCATTGAAATATTCAGGTCAATGTTTTGGATGAAGTAGGTGACAAATACTCAGAAATTTGGCTGCAAAATTTGGTCTATGAGAAAAATGTCAAGACATTCTAAGGGGAAATGGTCTACCTTTAGTTTTCTTCTTGGGAATTCTTAATAGGTGATTTCCCTAGCCTTCATACACTTTGGAATCAGAGTTATTTCGTTTGAGTTCAGAGACTTTCAGGTACCACCTGCGGGCTGTGAACTTTGTACAGTTAGTCAAAGATCTTAAACCTTACTGTCCTCAGCTGATAATGGGATCATTATTCCCAGGTCACAGGTCTGTTGTGAGGATTAAATGAGTCAGTTTATGTAAGAATACCGAGCTGTGTGCCTGTGAAGAGATCTTAACAAGTGTTAATCCCCTCACTTTATATTTTTCCTACACCCCCAAAAAGGTAGTAACTCTCTTTAAGATGCCATACTATTTTAGAGGAAATTTAAGAGCACTTGAAAGACTACTTGATTATAATTTAGTTTTTTCTTTTTTTCTCAGACTCTTCAAGTTATACTCGTTCTCAATACTTCAATTCTTTTTGTTAATTAGTTCCATGTAGCATCTTAGGAAGTGTAGACATTTCAAATAGGATATGAAACAAACACTCCAAGATCAGAACCCAATTTCCTCCTTCCTCACCATGATAGTTTCTGTAACTGTGATTAAAGAAAGACTTTTAGCCAAGAGGGAAAAAAATCGAGGTCAAGAAAAAATAAATGAAACCAGTGTTGAAATGTAAAGGTCAATGGCCAGTCTACTGAAGCTCTTTATCTATGTGTGATGAATTTGGATGATTTTAAATTAAAAATGGAAGAAGGGCCCTGCTGATGAACTCTTGCTCCATAATCTAACTCTAGAGAAAGGAGGAGGTGGTTTGTGGTGTCGCCAACTCCACTGGGGGTAGTTCTTACCCGTTCACCAGCAGTCTGTGCAAAGTGCTTCCATTGAGGCTCTTCCAGTCGGAGTGCAAGGTCAGCCACTGCTGGTCTCTCTCCTGTTCCTGCACTGACGCTGTCACAGATGGCTCTCTGTGATGGAAGACAAATACCAGGAAAATATGCAAAGTACAATAATCTTTCAACAGGTATATTAATTATTTAGTATTCATTCTGTTTCAAAAGGAGACTAATTTATAGGGACCCGCAGATGGCATAATGATTACATCACTGGATTCCAACGTAGTTGACTGTGGTTCAAATCCCGGACCTGGCGACTTAAAACTCATGCTGGGGGCATGTGCGTGCAAGCCCAAGATCCTGACAAGAGAATGGAGAAGAAGGGATTGCAGCATGGCCATCCCCTCAGGAGGTGATTTCTCACTTTCTGTCTCACTGTCTCTCCAGTGAGCACACACGCCCTATAGCAATAAACTCTCTCTCTAAAAAATAAATAAATAAATAAATAAATAAATAAATAAATAAATAAATAAATAAAATTTTAAAAAAGATGATTCAATTATAAATCAGTATTTCAAGAGGGAAATTTGGATTAGGGGAGTTTTGGGGATGCCACTAGCAAGAAGGGAAGTTACTCGAACTACACAGCAGCAGTAAAGACCCACATTGTCACAGCTGTGTTACTCGGCTGACACGTATCTGAACTTCATAAGGGGTTAGAGCTCTAAGGTAAATGATATAAAAGTTCCATCATCTAAACAAGAACAGGGGTAAAAAAGTAAAATAAAATTTATCTAGCTAGGGTCTTTCTACTTTTTTCTTGCCCATAGTAATCCTGTAATAAAGCAATATCTTAAAATAAAATAAATAACAAAGAGAATCTATGACCACTTAGTATCTACTAAGATAGTATAAAAATTGTAAGTGGAATTTTTTCAACATACTGCAAAATCTTTTTTTTTTTTTTAAGGTTTTTGATATAGAGCACATGTACTCATTGGAGAGAGAGAGACAGTGAAAGGAAAAGTGAGAAATCACCCCAGTGGAGTTGGCCACACCACAAAACCACCTCCTCCTTTCTCCTCTTGGGATTTTGGACACACACGCACATGCACCCAGTATGATTTTTCAAGCCACCAGGTCTGAGACTCGAACCAAAATCAACATGTGGGAGTCCAGTGTCTTGACCACCACCCCATCTGCTGGCCCCAGTGCAAAATCCTTATATACTAAGCATTAAGAAGCATTTGAGAAAACAGATGGTGTTGGCAACATGAGTTTGCTCTTTATCTGTACTCGCACCCAATCACCACCGTACTTTCCTGTGTGTGTCTCATTCGATCATTCAAATAAACATGGTTACCTTGGACCCAAGGTTTAAAACCTTAGATTTCAAAGGCATTTAGGTTTTCATTTAAAAAATCCTATTCTTCATAAACCAGTTGGTTCTTTTAGGCAATCCAAATGATGGAGTCTTTACAAAGTTCATGGACAATGTGCTTTATGAAAAAACTATGTATGCGGGACCAGCAGTTAGCGTAATGGCTATGTCGCTGGACTCCCATGTCGTCGACAGTGGTTCGCGTCCCGGACCTGGTGGCTTAAAACTCATGCCAGGATCGTGTGCGTGCGTGCCCAAGATCTTGAGAGGAGAATGGAGAAGAAGGGATTGTGACATGGCCATCCCCCCTGGGGGGTGATTTCTTGCTTTCTGTCTCTCTGTCTCTCTGTCTCTCTTTGTCTGGCTGGTGAGTACACGTGCCCTATAGCAAAAACCTCTCCAAAAAAAAAAAAAAGGAAAAAACAAAAAACTATGTACGGATTTCAAAGTGTTTTGCACCAAAATGAGCATGTACTTCAATTTCATTTTTTGCAGTACCCTGATATTTTAGTAAGACCTTTCGGGTTTTTAATTTAAATAAAAAATAACCACCCAATGCTATCAAGAGTAGAAGAGGAAGCTATCTAAAAGCAGAAAAGCTGTTACAGAAACTGGAAAGAAATAAGAGAGAAGGAGGCAGGTGCTTTGCTGACAAAGGGAGAGCAGGGCAAGTCAGGTAACATTTCTTTCAAAGCGGAGGGGAGCTCTCCTGATGAAAGCTGGGGACAAGGGTGCAAGATGACATTGACAGAGACGTGTGCATGCCATCGCTTCTTGGTGGACATGCTAGAAGAACGGCAAGCTTCACCGAGGGCCCAAATGAGTGGGGACACGTTGAATTCTACCAGCACTAGGTCTGCTGACTTAATGACTTTCTGTTTTGACCCTTGATTACCATTTAAAAAATTTATTTATTTATTTAAATATTTTATTATTTCTTTACTTTTTCCATGAAAGAGAGAGAGAGAAAGAGAGACAGATACTTCCGATTGAGTCTTCACACTACAGTCTCCTCTCATTCTCAGTCGGCCTTGGGACGTGAGCGTGAGACCTTCCCGATGTTACAGAGCACTGTGTGGCTGCTCACCACCGTGGCTGGCCCAGAGGCCCTTGCTCACACGCAAAAAGGGAAGGGTTAAGAGGAAGGGAGATGGTCAGATTCAGTGACACCAAAAGAAAAATGATCATTTCTTTATTAATCATTTACAAACTACCGTCATTATAGGCTAGAAAAGAAAAGAAACAAAAGCTTTTCCATACTTGATTACTTTATAAAATATAGGAGAAAACCTCCTGAAAAGGACACTTGATTACGGACTAAGAATGAAATATTTCAAACAAACAGTCCTTCCTAATTTACTAATGAATGGATTGTAACAGTTTCATCTCAGATGTCATAAATCCTAACCAAACTGTAAGAAGAGTTGCCTAAGTTTTAAATTTGTTTAGAAATTGGAATGAACTATCAGATGATTGAAGACATCACAAAACCTACTGAAAAGTAAGAATTTCTTTCCCTGGACCAAAATGAGTCTAGTTTTCTCTCAGCCTCAGACACGCTGTCTGCGGCGCCAAAGGGGCAGAAAGTATGAGTCAGAGGTCGCACATGGTGCTTCTGCCGCTCCTGCTTCCTGGGGGCTCTCTGCCGTGGAGCTGCCTGCAGGCCTCCCTGACCCAGGCCTTTTTTTTTTTTTTTTGGAGAGGTTTTTTGCTATAGGGTGTGTGCTTGCCAGAGAGACAGAGACAGACAGAGAGACAGAAAGTGAGAAATCACCCCCCAGGGGGGATGACCACGCCACAATCCCTTCTCCTCCATTCTCCTCTCGGGATCTTGGGCACGCACACACATGCACCCGGGGTGAGTTTAAGCCACGGGGTCCAGGACTCAAACCATGGTCAACTACATGGGAGTCCAGCGACATAGCCATTATGCCAACTGCTGGTCCCAATATCCAGGCATTTTAACAGCCAAAGGCCAAAGGAAGATCAACTTCTGATTTTGATATTTAATCAAGTCGTTCCTTAGGAAGGTTTTCAGTTGAGAATGGGTGTAGTATTCTCAACTGGGCCGACTGAGGTGTACATCATGCTGGGTAAGGTCTCTTTAAAATCTAAATGATGGATAGCCATTGAATGCATAAATAATAATAATAATAATAATAATAATGAAAACAAGAAAGTTAAGGTGAGTTAACAATAAAAAAAATAGTAAGGTTTTCAGAGGACAAGCGGGACTTTCTGGAGAAGTGCAATTCAGCAGAGGGTCTCCACTGAGGCCGGGCAGGAAACCCGAGGCCCAGACCACCTCCCCTCAGCCTTTGACCCTACACGGCAGAGACCCTGAGGAAGGGCTCACAGAACACGGCGCCTGGGTGTTCTCGCGTTTCATTCCTTACCTGTGAACGAGAAAGGCTATTTATCCTGAATCTCTCCAGTGCATCAAGTGGAAAAATTAAGAAACTCATGAATAGGAGGAGGGGAGTGTCTTTATCAAAATTAGCTTCCTATGAGACGATGAAACACTGGCACACTCCTCGTGTGCAAAATTAAACCCCTCCATGCTAGAAATGCCACCCGATGGTCCCATAAGAAAGCACCACCTCAACAGATGGCTCTGTTTTTGCCATCAGATAGGATCTGAGCAGCTACGAGCATGATTTCAATTTGTCTTCCTCTTCACTTCCTAGCTGTATTAACTCATACTTGATAAATAAAAATTGTATAGATTTAGGTATGCAATATGATGTTTGGTACACACCTCCTTTGTGAGATAGTTACCATAATCAAGGTAATAAACATATTTGTTTTTGTTGTTACCTTTTTTAGGGTGGCAAAAATAGTTGAGATCAACAACCTGAGCACATCCCAAGTACAGGGCTAGCCCACACTGTGGTGGTTAAGGCAGCTGGATCCAGCATGGCCAACTACACATTTTGAATCCCAGACTTAGAGGTTTGAGAAACATGCTAGGTGTATGTGCATGCATGCCCGAAAATCTCAAAAGAAGAGCAAAATGAAGGAGAAGGGATTGAGATGTGGCCCTGTCCCATGAAGGATGCTTTCTTGCTCTCTCTCTCTCTCTCTCTCTCTCTCCAGAAAGCCCATGTTCCTTTTGGGAGAAAGAAAGGAGAAAGGAAGGAAGGGAGGGAAAGAGAGAGAAAGAGAAAGAAAGAAGGAAAACAAAAAAGAACAAGGAGAGAGAAAAAGAAAAGAAAAATTTTAAGTATAAGATACAGCATTTCTCAACACAAAAAAGCCATATATAAAAAACCCATAGCTAACATCATACTGAATTGGGGAAACAGCGAAAGCTGGGCTACCCACTTTCTGCCCACTCCTTTTCATTATAGTACTGGAAGTCCTAGCCAATGCAATCAGACAAGAGAATAAAATAAAAGGCACTTCTCTCTTTCTATTTTTTATTTTTTTAGAGAGAGAGATTTTTGCTATAGGGTACGAGTGCTCTCCATAGAGACAGAAAGCAAGAAATCACCACCCAGGAGGGATGGCCAAGCTACAGTCCCTTCTCCCCCATTCTTCTCTCGAGATCTTGGGTACACACGCACACATGCCCAGCATGAATAAGGTGCCAGGTCTGGGACTCGAACCACAGTCAACTACATGGGAGTCCAGCAATGTAACCATTACACTATCGGTTGGTCAAAAAATAAAAGGCATTTCAATAGAGAAAGAAGTGAAATTACGTCTATTTGCTGAAGACATGATTATATGTACAGAAAACTCAAAAGAA